TTGGGGGCTTACTCCAACTTGTTTCAAGATCCGCACCAAAATATCGTGAGCAAAATCCTGTTATTTCATTGAGAATGTATGCTTCGACAATAGATGCCTCAACATGATTCTTGTTCCCTATTGTTTGTTTAAGTTTGTGCATTTGTCTGTAAAATTTGAAATTAGATATGAGCTTAACAAATTATTATAGATTCTATTATACTTGAAACTAGTGCATGAAACTAGTGCAAACTTGTTCCATTACCGTTCAAATGGGTACATCCATTGAAATTGTACTGGCCCACCAATTCGCGCCTCGAAAGGAAGATGGATTGCTAGGTGCTCCATACAATCAAAAAATGACGGCGGAAAGATTCTTTTTAACTTACATATTATTTCAACTATCTTTGTTTCCCAAACTGCCATGTCTTTTACGTTGACATTTGGGGAACATAGTGCACGGAAGAAATTACTTACTTCTGTTAATGGACCCTATATAGAATCCGGTAACAAGCCACAGAAAGCAATTGGAATGAGGCGCTGCATGAATATGTGGCAATCGTGACTCTTCAATCCAACTAAGCGTAGCTCAGCTAAGTTCACACAACGTGCGATATTAGATGCAAACCCATCTGGAAATCGCACATTTTTGAGCCATGTACATAGACATCTTTTTTTATCCGTGTCCAGTGCATAACTTGCATTTGGCATGCAAAGCGGCCCAAAACTGTCATAGTACAAGTGTAGTTCTTCCCTATCACAGTACAATGGTAAGTCCATTCTTGATTTAACATTGTCTTTTGAGGACGAGTCATTCATGACTGTGTGTATGATTTTATCAAAAAAATTCTTCTCACAGTGCATGACATCAAGATTGTGTCTGATCAGGTTATCCCCCCAGTATGAGAGTTCCCAGAAAATACTCCGTTTGACCCAATTGTGTGTTTCACCGAACCCGGGAATAGTTTGGTTTACTGATGGATTTCCAAATAAAACATCAGGTAGTGCAGCAACTCGAAGTCGAACGAAATGACCATCTAATCGTGGAGGAGGGGGCCCAAATTCTAGCTGGCCCTTAAGGAATTGAGATGCATCCATTCTGTACGAGTGTGATGCAGGAAGAAACTGCCGATGACAGTCAAAGAAGCAGATCTTGCGACCATGCTGCAAGTAAAAAGCACGAGTCATTTCCATGCAATGTGTACAAGACAGACGACCATGCGTGCTCCATCCAGAAACCATACCATAGCCGGGGAAATTTGTTATGGTCCACATAAGCATGGCTCGCATTGTGAAGTTCTGTTTATGGAAGCTGTCAAATGTTTCTACCCCCGACAACCATAACCGTTTCAGGTCATCAATAAGTGGACGGAGGAAAACATCAATGTTTTTTCCTGGACTTTTTGGTCCAGAAATAATGAGTGTAAGGAATGTAAACTCAGGTCGCATGCACATCTCAGGAGGAAGATTGTAAACAACAATGAAAACAGGCCAACAGGAATATGACCTCGAAGAATGACTCCACAGGTTAAACCCATCTGTTGCAAGACCAAGACGGACATTTCGCGGATCGGATGCAAATGAAGGATGAACGACATCAAAGTGCTTCCAAGCAGTAGACTGAGCAGGATGAATGAGGATTTCCGAGTCAACACGACATTTAAAGTGCCATGTCATATGCTCAGCAGTTTTACGAGACATGTACAGCCTCTGTAGGTGTGGAATAATAGGTAGATACCACAAAGAATTCCTGGGCCTACCCTTTTTTTGAGTTTGAACCGAGTTGCATTTTTTATACCTAGGTTCACCACAAACTGGACAAGCAGTAAGTGACTTTGCCTCATCACCATACTACAGAAAGCAGTTGTTGACACAGGCATCAATTTTGACATAGCCTAAACCTAAGTTTTTCATGAATTTTTTTGCTTCATAAAAATTTGACGGTACTTTTTGCTGATCTTCTGGACTTAACAATTGCCTACAGCCCTGAATGATGTCATTGTAACCAACACCAGTTATGTTGTTTTTGGCTTTGCAGTGCAGCATATATGATAACCATCCAAGCAATGTTTGATTATTAGATGATGGTCCAAGTGGGATGGTTGAAGCATGCAACAAGTCATAAAAAGATTGTGCATGTCTATTTGGCGCATCCCCAACATTTTCAGGGTGATCGTTTTCAGATGGACAGAATGCATCATAAACCATGTGATGGATATCATCCTCAGCATTAACATGTTCCTCAATATTAACATGTTCCTGAATATTACTTGAGGATGCCACATCACTTGTAGCTAACCATGGATCAACATTGTTACTTAAGGTTTCACCACGTGCCCACCACACAGAATATGCATCCATGAAACCATATCTCAACAGATGGTCTGTTACAGTTGCCTTGTTGTGGTGAGGTAAATTTCCACATTTACTACAGGGGCAACGAATTTCGGCATTCAAGTGAACACCAGGA